GCATACCAAGCTTATCCCAAGCGCGCCCTGCAAATCGCTACAGCAACATAGCGAATTTGAGCCACGCGCGTCTCCTCAGGCACCCCTTCCCTGAACAGATGGAACAATGCGAGGGCGCGGCAGAGGGGGCAGGATAAGCAATCGTTGGCCACGAAACTGCCCGGTGACCAGCTAAGGCGGGACACTGGATGAGGGCGTGAGACACGTCAACATCGTCAGCCCCACATGCAACACACCGCGCCAGGCGCTGGGGTAGGATCGGCGCACCAAGCACCCGGGAAGGCCAACACCCAGACATACGCACAACAGCCCACAGCCGCACCATTTGCCACGTGGGCGGGCAAAAATCGAGGTTTAGGAATTCGGCGGGGCGATGGGCAGGCGAAGACTGCAGTCCAGAAAAAGGGCGTTCGAGCACTGGCAGAACCGTTGAGGCCGCCTGCTGAAACGCCGCCAGGTCAGCCGCCAGCATGGCGGGTCGAACAAACCGAAATTTATACTGCCGCAGAACTGTCCTACGCACCCATGGGTCCGCCCGCACTGCATCTAGAGGGCATACCCCAAGAGTGGGCAGTCGGTGACCCGCGGGATGGGTGGAGAGAAAGCCGCCATGTGCGAGCACACGCTCCTTGCCCAGGTGCTGGCTGTTAGCCCATCCGCGAGAGCCAACATGGCGCGCACGGGGTGCCCCTCCTGCTGGAGCTGAGCGCGGGCGAAGGCCATAATGGTGCGTTCCACCATTGTGGCCCCCAGCCGCAGGCGCCAGCCACACTGGGAAAGTACGACCTCAGACGGAATAGGGGGACCGCAAGCGTATCCCAACAGGCGGCGGGCCCATGCTGCCTGCATGGAGTTAAGCTTCCACTGCGCGCGTGCCGCACAGAACAGGAAAGGGCAGGATGTAGAATTGCCGACTCAACGCGGGTTGGCACCATTGCACACAGGACAGGCAAGGCAAAGCCGCCCGTCTCCCCAGCAAAAAGGACACCCTCAAAAAGACTGTGCCCCCTGGCTATCGTTGCCTTTAACAGGGGGGCGAACGAGAGGGCATCGTCAAAAAGGACGCCCAAGATTGCCTTCTGAGAGACCACGGGGCAACCGACATCCCCAGGTCGGGCGCTGCACACATGGCAAGAGCCGCGGTCTTCCTTGAGGCATAGTTGAAGTGCGCCCGGATGCGGTAAGCGCACCGCGAGCAAGCCAACTCTGGCTCGGACGACGCGATCGCGCGCAGGGCACCAGGGGAGGAGCACGCGACGGTCAAGTCGTCCACAAATTCCAGTGGAGGCAAATGCCACTCCCCTACTAGGTAAGCGCCGTCGGCTTCCGACGGTAACCAAGTCGCCAACTCCGGGATCCTCGCGCAACCGCTAGCGTGAGGCGCGGGCTCCGCAGCAGCCGCCGCCACCGCCCCCGCCGCCGACGCATGGAGTTCAGCCGACGCATGAACCATGGCCGGGCAGCCCTCCACCGGCGCGCCGAGGGGCACCGCCAGACGGAAGTGCGGGGGAACCCATGCTGCCGATGCATACGGCAGTCGTTGTTCAACCTCGTGGTAGAGCCATTTCAGCTGGGCGTTGAAGACGGGGATGCTAAACCGCCGGCCTTGGGCAGTGCCACCACCTAGTTCAAAAGGCAACGACGCCAGGCCTTGCAAAGCCACGAATTGACGGTCGGAGGCAATGCAGTCATCTAGCAGTAGCCAGTCGGTACCTCGCACGCCCGCCGAGTGGGCGCTGATGAGCATGGCCAGATAGGGCGCCGCATCAAAAGCCCACTGCAAGTCGGTGACCGCCCAATACACGGGTAGGCCCGGCATTGGGCATGAAGGAGGAGGGCAACAAGGAGGACCAACGGGTCGCCTAACCTACCTTGTTGGGCCACCCCACAATAGGCCTCAAGCCGACGCCTATTCCGGGAGGTCCATAAGCCATCCACTACCGATGCCATCACGGTGGAGATTGAGATGGGTCGCAGGCAGGCGAAGGCGCACCACGCGGGGCCCCGACTTATGCAGGGGCGAGATCTGACTGGCGGACCACAGATTACTGGTGAGACCGCAGTGTCGAGATAGATTCGCCACTGCCCTAGTAAGCCGCCGGCCCACTGGCACACATGACTTCAAGGATGCGTAACACCCCTTCAAAGCAGCCGACGTGGGCTTCAGGGCATCAAGCATGGCATTCACCTCGCGCATACTGTATAACTGCTCCTGCGTGCCTAGCAGAGACAATAATTCCAGGCCGCCCCCGACAGAACGAATGGAAGTGACCAAATCCCTCTGCGCAATAGCAGCGGCCTCGTCAAAGCGGAATCATTGCGGACTCGCGCAAAGAGGTCCTCCTCAATCCGCGTCAGCCTGCAACGGGGGTCAAGGGCACGGCCTGTCTCCGCATCCACAAGTGCAATCTGGAGCGCACGCTGTTCTGCCAAAAAAATGACACGAACCGCTCCGCCGAGTCGGGGTCCTGCGACCACAGACGCGCATAATGCATTGTAGCACGGCGCCGTTGGGACCACGCCGCATCAGCCGCCGCCCGTTTGAAGCCCTCCTGCTCATCGAAAGCCCGCGGGTTCATCAGGTCTCTCGCAGTCCGCCGCTGAGCAGCTCCAGGCATTACGGCACGCGTGGCTCCCGCAGCACGGCCTAATATAACGTACAAGGCGTCCCGTGCCCAAGCTGCCGCATCCACGAAAATGCGTTTCTCTGCCATAGAGGCTCCACCTCCGAACCAGCGTGGGCGCAGCCACGCCTCACCGATGAGGGATTCAATGGACACTGCAAGCGGATGCAGGAATGGGGCCACGCTATCGAGAGCCGCGTCCCACTGGGGCCCCGTGCGCCACGCAACCCTGCCGAAGCCAACGTCAGAGCGTGGCGGACACGAGACAGGCATTGACCACACCACAAGGCTATGATCGGCAAAATCACCCGGCGCCTCCGAGACATGAACCGGCTGCACCTCCTGGCGATTGGGCGCCAGCACCAGATCTATGCAGGTGGGTACGAGGACTGGTGGGACAGCGGACGCACTGTCATTCCAAATTGCAAACCATTGGGACCGCGGGCCAGACAGGTCCGCAATCGGCCGCACGTAATGCACACGAGAGCTCCGAGAGCTCCGCACAGACAAAAACTCCAAAGGCCCCCATTTCATGGGGCATTCCCCCAGCCACCTGCACGGACAGCCTGGTGGGAGACACGCGCCAGGTGGAAACCGGGCTCCTGGCAGCACGCAGATATCCACCCCGCGCGCGACGAGTGTGTGGCCCAGGTTCCCCAGCCTCCAGTCCAACAGCGCATCCAGGCCTAACGCAAGGAAGCCCGTTCTGCCAGGGTTGAGGGTGGCAAAACATAAAAGGGGGGCCAGGGTCCTGAGCAGGCAGAGCATGCGCTGCAAACGCTGATGTTTCCATATCCGTAATGCGCCCCGCAGCTGGGGAAGCGATGGGGCGCCCCTCAGGGCCGCCTCGTGGAGGGGCGTCGCAACCTCCTCCCTGAGGAAACGGAGGAGAGCATGCACAATGTTGGCCAGATGGCAAGCCGAGTGCCCAGTCTTTCTTACCAGCGCCGGCGAGAGGGCAGGACCACAACCCTGCAGCGCCCGCACGTCCTTCAAGGCCGCGGCACGCTCCAAGGGGCGTTGCTCAGTCCCCCACCACCACGTGACCGACGTGCGCAGGCTGTCCAAGAGTGCCGCCTCAGGCCCCATCGGGCCCCCAGCAGTCAAGCACCCGGGAACGCACCTGCGCGGGCCAGTACTGGTTAGGCCTGCGCCAAAAGAAAAGCAGAATCAAGCTGGAGAGCCCTGGCGCCACTACACCCCTGAGAAGCGCGCATGGAGCAGGCGCCGCGGGGGGCCGCGGAGCAGGGGGAGCAGAAGCGAGGAGAGGGAGCCAGGGCGGGGCCACGTGATGCGTGCATGCCACGAGGGGGTCGACACCAGATGGGGAGGACGACAGCTTGCAACCCATATCCATTTGCCTGCAAAGCGAGAGCCCACAAGGGAGGAACGCAGCACCGGCAGGAGCACGGTAGGCGGGAAGAGGGGGCAAGGGCACGGACGGGCCGAGTAACGCTGACGCACGCTCCTTTTTCCGACTGCCCAGAAGGCCGGGCCCAGTCCATGAAACGATGCGGGGTTCGTACGGGCAACGCAAGGCAGGCCGCCCAACTCCTGACGCCGCAGGACCTACTCATAGCCCAGACGCCATCCGATCTTCTCTATGAGCAGGGCTGGGCCTCCTGCGTTCAGCACTGTGCCTGACCGCCGCCAAGCGCCTGTGCCTGGCCGCCAATGCCTTATGGGACTGGCGGCGACAATGTCCTGGACGCACGCCCCCGGGAAGCGGCGAGCTATAGCCGCGATGTGCGTAAGAGGTCACTCCGCTATCCCTCCGAGGAGACCGCGGAAGTGGCAACAGCTTCGCGGACCGCAGCCACCCAGGGCACGGCGAGCCATAGTTGAGATGAGCGTAAGACGTCACTCCGATGACCCTCGCCGAAGTCAATCGCAGCCCTCCAGGGGGTGGCGTGGTCTCGTGGTGATCCACGCAGGACGTCACTCCTCCGGCCCTCTCCGAAGCCCACGACAGCGTCGCACATCGCAGCCATCCAGGGGGCGGCGAGTCTCACGGTGATCCGCGAAGAACGCCACTCCGCTGGCCCTCCAAAAAGCCCGCGATAAAGGCGACAGGCTCGAAGATCTTTTATTTTTCCGAAGCCAGGCGAACCCCGAAACTCCCCCGAGGCCGCCCCGCCGCAACCCGGCAGCGCGTCGCCCTCAGGGCCCGGCCCGTCGCCGCCAGCCGCCTGCCGCCTGGGCGGCCGCCGCCGCAGCAGCCGTGTTTTCGGCCGCCGCCGCCGCCGCCGTCGCTGGCTGCCGTCCGCGGGACGTCGGGCCCGCAGCGGCCAGGCCCTCTTGCCAGCCGCGCCGGGCTTGGCCGCCAGCGCCTGCAGCCGCCTCCCGCCGGCGCCGGCCGCGGCGGCGGAGCCTGCTGCCGTTACTCGCCCCCCCCCCTCCGGTCCGCCGCGGGCTGGCCAGCCAGGTGCCTAGGCCCCAATGGCGGGCCCGCGCCTGCCGAAGGCGCGCCGCCGCCAGCGCGAGGGGCCTGGGAGACCGCCAGAGCCCGCGGCCAGAGCATGCCGTTTTCGCACGCGCCGACTTCGGCACTGTAGCTGATGAAGACGCTCGGCTCTGGCTTCGGATCCCGGGTCGCCCGGGAAACCGCCTCAGCCCGCGTCGACAGCATGCCCTTCTCGCTCGCGCCGAGTCCGGCATTGCAGCTGATGGCACCTAGCGCGGTTATCTTCGGCCCCCTGTCGCTGAGCAGCGGCAGAGCCCGCTGCCACTGAGCGCCCTTCGGGCACGCACCGATCCCAGCGCTGTAGCTGATTACGTCTGGCACCAGCTTCGCATCCCACATCGCGCTGAGCAGCGCCAGAGCCCGTTGCCGCTGATCGCCCTTCTCACATGTGCTGATCCCGGCGCTGCAGCTGATCACGTTGGGCCGCAGCTTTGATTCCCGCATCTCGCTGACCATTTCCGCTGCTCCTGATCGCTCGTCGCGCCTTCCAGGATCCCTGCGCTGTAGCTGATTACGTCGGGTACCAGCTTCGCATCCCACATCTCGTTGGGCAGCGCCAATGCCTGCTGCCACTGTCCCCTCCTCTCGCACGTATTGATACTGGCATTGAAGCTGATGACGTTGGGCTGCAACTGTGATCCCCGCATCTTGCGGGGCCGCGTCCGGGCCCGCTGCCGCTACCCGCCGCTCCCACATGCGTTGATCCCAGCGCAGTACCTGATTGCGTCGGGCTCCAGCTTCGCATCCCACATCTCTCCGAGCGGCGCCAGAGCCCACTGCCACTGCTCGCCCTTCGTGTAGGCTCTGATCTCAGCATTGGAGCTAATGACGTCGGGCCCCTGCTTCGCATCCCGCATCGAACTGAACAGCGCCAATGCCTGTTGCAACTGCCCCCTCTTCTCGCATGCGCTGACCCCAGCGTTGTAGCTGATGGCGTCTGGCTCCAGCCTCGCGTCCACCGTCTCGGCGAGCAGCGCTATCAGTGGGAGAGCCTGCTGCCACTGCTCGCCGTTCGTACACGCGCTGATCCCAGGGCTGATCCCAGAGTTGTAGCTGATGGCTTCTGGCTCCGACCTCACTTCCCACATCTCGCAGAGCAGCGATAGAGTCCGCTGCCACTGCTCGCCTTTCGTGCACGCGCTGATCCCAGAGCTGTAGCTGATGACATTCGGCTCCGATCTCGCTTCCCACATCCCGCTGAGCAGTGATAGAGCCCGCTGCCACTGCTCGTCTTTCGCGCACGCGCTGATCCCGGAGCTATAGCTGATGGCATCTGGCTCCACCTTCGCCTCCCACATCTCGCTGGGCAGTGAGAGAGCCCGTTGCCACTGCTCGCCTCTCGCGCATGCGCTGATCCCAGAGCTGTAGCTGATGACGCTTGGCTCCACTTTCGCCTCCCACATCTCGCTGGGCAGTGAGAGAGCCCGCTGCCACTGCTCGCCTCTCGCGCACGCGCTGATCCCAGAGTTGTAGCTGATGGCATCTGGCTCCAACCTCACTTCCCAAATCTCGCAGAGCAGCGATAGAGCCCGCTGCCACTGCTCGCCTTTCGTGCACGCGCTGATCCCACAGCTGTAGCTGATGACACTTGGCTCCACCTTCGCCTCCCGCATCTCGCAGAGCAGCGGGAGAGCCTGTTGCCACTGCTCGCCGTTCGTACACGCGCTGATCCCAGGGCTGATCCCAGAGATGTAGCTGATGGCATCTGGCTCCAACCTCACTTCTCACATCTTGCAGAGCAGCGATAGGGCCCGCTGCCACTGCTCGCCTTTCGCGCACGCGCTGATCCCAGAGTTGTAGCTGATGACATTCGGCTCCGATCTCACTTCCCGCATCCCTCTGAGCAGTGATAGAGCCCGCTGCCGCTGCTCGTCTTTCGCGCACGCGCTGATCCCAGAGCTATGGCTGATGGCATCTGGCTCCACCTTCGCCTCCCACATCTCGATGGGCAGTGAGAGAGCCCGCTGCCACTGCTCGCCTCTCGCGCATGCGCTGATCCCAGAGCTGTAGCTGATGACACTTGGCTCCACCTTTGCCTCCCACATCTCGCTGAGCAGCGGGAGAGCCTGCTGCCACTGCTCGCCGTTCGCGCACGCGCTGGTCCCAGAGTTGTAGCTGATGGCATCTGGCTCCAACCTCACCTCCCGAATCTCGCAGAGCAGCGATAGTGCCCGCTGCCACTGCTCGCCTTTCGTGCACGCGTTGATCCCGGAGCTGTAGCTGATGACGCTTGGCTCCACTTTCGCCTCCCAAATCTCGCAGAGCAGCGATTGAGCCCGCTGCCACTGCTCGCCGTTCGTACACGCGCTGATCCCAGGGCTGATCCCAGAGCTGTAGCTGATGGCATCTGGCTCCAACCTCACTTCCCACATCTCGCAGAGCAGCGATAGAGCCCGCTGCCACTGCCCGCCTTTCGCGCACGCGCTGATCCCAGAGCTGTAGCTGATGGCATCTGTCTCCACCTTCGCGTCCCACATCTCGCTGGGCAGTGAGAGAGCCTGCTGCCACTGCTCGCCGTTCGCATACGCGCTGATCCCAGGGCTGAATATGATGCCATTCGGCTCCAACCTCACTTCCCACATCCCGCTGAACAGTGATAGAGCCCGTTGCCACTGCTCGCCTTTCGCGCAGGTGCTGATCCTAAAGCTATAGCTGATGTCACTTGGCTCCACCTTCGCCTCCCACATCTCGCTGGGCAGTGAGAGAGCCCGCTGCCACTGCTCGCCTCTCGCGCATGCGCTGATCCCAGAGCTGTAGCTGATGACGCTTGGCTCCGCCATCACCTCCCAATTTCCTCCTCCTCCTCCACGTCCTGACTCCCTGGCTCGCTGCCACTGCCCGCTGACGTCGAGCGCGATTATCTTCGCCTCCTCCTCCTCCTCGACCTGGTCCTTCTCGTCCGCAGCCTTCTCCTCCTCTTCTATCTCCTCCTCTGCCGCCTCGCTCTCCTCCCTGGCTCGCTGCCACTGCCGCTGCCCATTTTTCGCACGTGCGCTGGCCCCAGCGATGCAACTGATGACGTTGGGCCCCAGTTTGGGAATCAGCAGCGCCATAGCCTGCTGCCACTGCTCTCTTGTCTCGCAGGCGCGGCTGGGTCTGGACTCCAGGCGGGGGCGGGGCGGGCGGGGGACGGAGGACGAGGGGGCGAGGGGCACGAGCCGGGCCCGAACGGCGAGGGGCGAACGACGCGGGGGCAGTGGGCGAACGAGACGGGACCGAGACGAGGGGACAGAGGCCGAGGGAAAGGCGAGGGGAAGGGGCGGTGGGCGTCGTCGGCGCGCGTCGTCGTGCAGGTGCGCGTCGTTGCTGCTGGTCGTTGCAGGTGGTGCCCGTCGTTGCTGGGGGTCGTGTTGCCGGTCGGAATTGGTGCTGGTCGCAGTCGTGGTGGTGCTGCTGCTGGTCGTGGTCGTGTTGGTGGTGCTGCTGCTGGTTGCGGTCGTGGTAGTACTGCTGCTGGTCGCAGTCGTGGTGCTGCGAGTCGTAGTCGTGGTGGTGTTGGTGGTCGCGGTCGTGGTGGTGCTGGTTGTGCTGGTGGTGCTGGTCTTGGTGGTGGTGCTGCTGCTGCTGTTCGCAGTCGTGGTGGTGCTGCTGCTGGTCGCAGTCGTGGCCTTGCTGGTCGCAGTTTGGGTGCTGCTGGTCGCAGTCGTGGTGGTGCTGCGGGTTGCAGTCGTGGTGGTAGTGCTGGTAGTGGTTCTGCAGCTGGTCGCAGTCGTGGCGCTGGTGGTCGCAGTCGTGGTGCTGCTGGTCGCAGTCGTGTTGGTGCTGCTGGTCGCGGTTGTGGTGGTGCTGCTTGTCGTGGTGGTGCTAGTCGTAGTAGTGGTGGTGCTGCTGGTCGCCGTCGTGGTGGTGCTGGTTGTGCTGGTGGTGCTGGTGGTGCTGTTGGCCGTGGTGGTGGAGCTGCTGGTGGCAGTCGTGGTGGTGCTGCTGCTGGTCGTGCTCGTGGTGTTGCTGGTGGCAGTCGTAGTGCTGCTGGTAGCAGTCGTGGTGGTGCTGCTGGTCGCGGTCGAGGTGGTGCTGCTGCTGGTCGTGGTGGTGCTGCTGCTGGTCGCAGTCGTGGTGGTGCTGGTTGTAGTCGTGGTGGTGCTGCTGGTCGCAGTCGTGGTATTGCTGGTTGTGCTGGTGGTGCTCGTCGTGGTGGTGCTGCTGGTCGCTGTCTCGGTGCTGCTGCTCCCGGTTGCGGTAGTGGCGCTGCTGGTCGCAGTCGTGGTGCTGCTGGTCGTGGTCGTGGTGGTGCTGCGGGTCGCGGTCGTAGTGGTGGTACTGCTGGTCGTTGCCGTGGTGGTGCTGCTGCTGGTCGCAGTCGTGGTGCTGCTGGTCGCAGTCGTGGCGCTGTTGGTCACAAACGTGGGGCTGCTGGTCGCCGTCGTGTTGGTGCTGGTGGTGCTGCTGGTCGTGGTGGTGCTGCTGGTCTCAGTGGTGCTGCTGCTGCTGGTCGCAGTCGTGGTGGTGCTGGTCGTAGTGGTGGTGGTGCTGCTGGTCGCAGTCGTGGTAGTGGTAGTGCTGGTTGTGCTGGTGATGCTGGTCGTGGCGGTGCTGCTGATCGCAGTCTCGGTACTGCTGCTCCCGGTTGCAGTCGTGGTGCTGCTGGTCACTGTCGTGGTGCTGCTGGTCGTGGTCGTGGTCGTGGTGGTGCTGCGGGTCGCTGTCGTGGTGGTGGTGCTGCTGGTCGCAGTCGTGGTGGTGCTGCTGCTGGTCTCAGTCGTGGCGCTGCTGGTCGCAGTCGTGGCGCTGTTGGTCGCAGTCGTGGGGCTGCTGGTCGCCGTCGTGGTGGTGCTGGTGGTGCTGCTGGTCGTGGTGGTGGTGCTGCTGGTCTCTGTGGTGCTGCAGCTGGATGCAGTCGTGGTGGTGCTGGTCGTAGTCGAGGTGGTGCTGCTGGTCGCAGTCGTGGTAGTGCTGCTTGTGCTAGTGGTGCTGGTGGTGCTGCTGGTCGTGGTGGTGGTGGTGCTGCTGGTCGTAGTCGTGGTGATGCTGCTGGTCGCAGGCGTCGTGCTGCTGGTCGCAGTCGTGGTGCTCCTGGTCGTGGTCGTGGTGGTGCTGCGGGTCGCTGTCGTGGTGGTGGTGCTGCTGGTCGCAGTCGTGGCGCTGCTGGTCGCGGTCGTGGGGCTGCTGGTCGCCGTCGTGGTGGTGCTGGTGGTGCTACTGGTCGTGTGGTGCTGCTGCTGGTTGCAGTCGTGGCGGTGCTGGTCGTAGTCGTGGTGGTGCTGCTGGTCGCAGTCGTGGTGGTGCTGCTTGTGCTAGTGGTGCTGGTGGTGCTGCTGGTCGTGGTGGTCGTGGTGCTGCTGGTCGTGGTCGTGGTGGTGCTGCGGGTCGCTGTCGTGGTGGTGGTGGTGCTGGTCGCAGTCGTGGTGGTGCTGCTTCTGGTCGCAGTCGTGGTGCTGCTGGTCGCAGTCGTGGTGCTGCTGGTCGCAGTCGTGGGGCTGCTGGTCGCCGTCGTGGTGGTGCTGGTGGTGCTGCTGGTCGTGGTGGTGGTGCTGCTGGTCGTTGTGGTGCTGCTGCTGGTTGCAATCGTGGCGGCGCTGGTCGTAGTCGTGGTGGCGCTGCTGGTCGGAGTCGTGGAGGCGCTGCTTGTGCTAGTGGTGCTGGTGGTGCTGCTGGTCGTGGTGGTGGTGCTGCTGCTGCTGGTCGTAGTCGTGGTGGTGCTGCTGGTGGTCGCTGTCGTCGTGCTGCTGGTAGCAGTCGTGGTGCTGGTCGTTGTCGTGGTGGTGCTGGTCGTAGTGGTGGTGGTGCTGCTGGTCGCAGTCGTGGTAGTGCTGGTTGTGCTGGTGGTGCTGGTCGTGGTGGTGCTGCTGGTCGCTGTCTCGGTGCTGCTGCTCCCGGTTGCAGTCGTGGTGTTGCTGTTCGCTGTCGTGGTGCTGCTGGTCGTGGTCGTGGTCGTGGTGGTGCTGCGGGTCGCTGTCGTGGTGGTGGTGCTGCTGGTCGCAGTCGTGGTGGTGCTGCTGCTGGTCGCAGTGGTGGCGCTGCTGGTCGCAGTTGTGGCGCTGCTGGTCGCAGTCGTGGGGGTGTTGGTGGTGGTTCCGCTGCGGCTCGCAGTCGAAGCGCTGGTGCTGCTGGTCGCCGTTGGACGGGCGACGGCGAGGTCTCGTGGTCTCGTGGTGATCCGCGTAGGACATCACTCCGCTGGCCCACTCAAACGGCCGCGAGAGTGGATCAGCCCCTGGGAAACGACGAGGTCTCGTGGGAACCCGCGCAGGACGTGACTCCGCAGCCCTCTCCGGAACCCGCGACAGTGCCGAAACCGTGCATCGCGGCCACCCAAAGCCACCCAAGGGGCGGCGATGTCTCGCGGTAATCCGCATACTCGGCTGGCCCTCCCAGAGACCATCGATAGTGGCGACACTTTCGCAGGTCGCAGCCACCCACAGGGCGGCGAGGTTTCCTGGCGATCCGCGTAAGACGCCAGGCGGCTGGCCATCCAAGAAGCCCACAAACGCGGCAGCAGTTTCGAAGGCCGCAGCCCCCCACGGGGCAGCGAGGTCTCGTGGTGACCCGCGCAAAACGTCACTCCGCCGGCCCTCCCAGAAACCCACGGAAGCGACGACAGCTTCGCAGATCGCAGCCCCCCACGGAGCGGCAAGGTCTCGCGGTGATCCGCGAAAGACGCCACTCCGCCGGCCGTCCCAGAAGCCCACGAAAGGGGCGACACTTTCGCAGATCGCAGCCCCCCAGGACGCAGCGAGGTCTCGCGGTGATCCGCGAGAGACGCCCCTCCGCTGGCCCTCCCACACGCCCACGACCGCGGCAACCCTTTCGCAGATCGCAGCCCCCCACATTTTTCATTGTTCATTTCATACCGCTTGCGGCGACGTCCGGACCGGCGCCCGCGCCCGCGCCCGCGGACGCGCCGCGCCGTGCCGTCAGCCCCCGCGGCGGCTCACTCAGCCCTCACCTGGGCGCCGCGGGCAGTGGAGAGAGCCGCTAGGTGGCCCCGGTTTGGTGGAGGCCTTTCACCCCCCATCGTTGGCCCCCCAAAGAGTGTGAGTGCTCACCAGACCGGGCCGCCCATGGGCCCCGGCTCGCACCGGGGGCGCCCATGCGTCGCCCCAGAGCCTGGTCAGCGGTGCAAGTGCAGGCATCGCGGGGAGACAGCTAGCAGAAGCAGCAAGCGACTGAGCTCCGCACCCTCCCCCGCATGCCCTGGGGCCAACGGTCAGACATGGCGAGCGCATAGACCACATGGTGAAAGGCAACCAATGGGCCCAAGGGATGCCGTGCACGCCCATTGCAACCCAGAGGTAGCACGAGGTCAACAGACCGGCGGAAGCCCGGTGAGACGGTCCGAAGAGACGGGGAACGGGGGCAGAAGTCCCCACAGGCACGGCCCGAGCGCGACCAAAATTGCCCCGTGGCCAGCAGGGCGGACTGGCCTGGCCCCGTCAGACCACCCAAG